GCTGTGAGCAGAAAGGAGAGGTGGGGAAAGCCGTCCTCCCTAGAAGGGCCTCATCGCCTAGCATCCGGAGCCATCTGGGCAGCCCTCTCTTGTCAGGGCTGTACCATGAGCTCGACAGCGCTCTTGGTGCATAGGAGTGAGCGGCTGACAACGGAAATTCATTTCCTCACAGTTCTGGAGCCAGAAGTTGAAGATCATGGTCAGGATGCTTGGATTCCTCTGGAGCCTCTCTCCTTGGCTTGCAGATTGTCACTTCCTCTTCCCCCATGTCTTCACATGGTCCTCCCTGTGTACTTGTTTGTGTTCAAAGCTTCTCTTGTAAGGACACCAGGCATATTGGATTAGGGTCCACCCAAGTGACCTCATTTTTGCTTTTTTACTTCTCGAAAGGTATCACCAGGACTGGGGATTGGCTTCAGGGAAGAGGGCTTGCCTAGCATGCACGAAGGCTATGGGTTTGATCCCCAGCACCACAAAAATAAATAAAAGGAAGGAAAAAAGTATAAGAGGAGCAATGACAGAGGTGGTTCCATTTTGGATGAGAGAGGCACTTTAGAAACAGATACATAAAAGGGGAATGAGAAACAAAAGTTTTCTCACAAAAATAACAAGCCTCTCACCAAAATAACAAAATGCAGCTTCGAGATGTGGGCGCAGGCCAGGATGAGCTGAGCAGACCTCTCAGAATGCCCAGTTCAATAAGGAAAGGGATGGAGGGACAGGTGGCCCGGTTCAGTGAGAAGCTGACCAGGCGCCAACCAATCACAAATATAGTTTCAAGGTAGAATAGCTGGACCTAAGCCAGACAGAGCCCTGTGTCACCTCCTGGACGTCAGCCATTGTTTGGCTTAGCTGTTTCGCTAAGTCCCACCTGTCAGGCAGCTTTGCTGTCCTTTCAATAAACTTTGTGCTTGTTTTACTCTTAACTCCTGGTCCGGCATCTTCAATCATTGACTATGCCAGGACACGAACTCGGGAACAACAGTCCAGTATTGGAAAGAAAGAAGGAAGGAAGGAGAGAGGGAGGGAGGGAGAGAAGGAGGGAGGAAAGGAAGGGAGAGAGGAAGGAAGGAGGAAGGAAAGGAGAGTGAGGGAGGAAGAAGGAAGGAAGGAAGGGAGGAAGGAGGAAAGAAAGGAGAGTGAGGAAAGAAGAAAAGGGGAAGGAAGGAGGGAAGGAAGGAAGGGAACGAGGGAAGGAAGGAAGGAGGAAGGAAAGGAGAGTGAGGGAGGAAGGAAAAGGAAGAAAGGAAGTAAAGAAGGAAGGAGGGAGGGAGGAAAAGAAAGGAAGAAAGAGATGAAGGAAAGAAAAGAAAGGAAAAAATCAAGGAAGGAAGGAAGAAAGGAAAAAATTAACAGATAAAATTAATTAAATACAGTTAAAATATTTAATTCTAGGGTTGTATTACCTCATTTCAAGTGCTAAAAATCTACATTGGGGCAATTGTCAGGTCGCAGAATGTCAGAAATGAGGGGTCCCCAGTTCCAGAGCCAACTTGGAAAGAAAACACTCCCAAGAGGCAGACAGCAGAAGAGCAGGGACCCAGAGAAGAGGCTGATGGAAACCCAGAGCTCAAGGGAACTCAGGTGCACCCCAAGATCAAGTGCCATGCCACCCTGAGAGGCAGGGAGGGGCAGATGTTGGCCCAAGACGCCCTCCTTAAGGAACATGCTCAGCGCTGCATCGTGTCGGGGGAGGGCACAGAGGGACAAGGAGATCCCAACCCTGTCAAAGTAGGAGTAGGTGGAAAAGCAATTACTATGTCTGGGGAAATGGGAGCTGCAGGTTAGCCCAGTGGTTAGAGCACAGGCCTAGCCCTGGGTTTCATCCCAAGCATGCACAACAACAAACAACGAAAATCCTGAAGGTAATTGGAAGCATTTATGGGACTGGATTCCAGAGAAGCACCAGCGCACAGGAGTTCTACCCTGACCCGGGCACCTCTAGGAGGCAAAGCCAGGACCAAGGCAGCTGCTCGACTCAGACCACGGGTGAGTTTTAAGCAAGGTGAACTGTCCAGTACAGGAGGAAGGAAATGGCCTGCCTTAGAATCCTCAACAGAGAATGTTCTAAAGAAATCATGTCCCACACCCCAGGGTGACACCAAAGCAGAGGCTGGGGCCACCTGCTGAGGTGCTGCAGAGGGGCTTCTGCTGTGCAGAGGGCAGGAGAAGGTGAGTCCCTGCACCGAGGTGCCTACTGATTCAGCGTTTGGAGCACCTGCCCCCTTTCACAGAGCACTTCCCCAGCACCAGGCAGCTAAGCAACTGAGCTGAGCTTTTGCTACCACCTCACCTTCCCTAAACCCATGAGCCTGTCACCCCCACTTCTCAGAGGAGGAGACTGAGTCATAGAATGAAGTAAGTTCTCACAGGGAGAAGTTCGCCTGGCAGTATGGCTTAGTGGTAAAGCACCTGCCTAGCATGCACCAGGCCCTGGGTCCCTTCCAGAGAAACACGCTCAAACAAACATAAAAAGAATGGGGTGGGATGGTTCCAGGGCCTGCCCCTACCACACACCATTCTCCCTGCCCAGTCTTCCCTGCCCAGGCTCCCCCAGATTCATTGCCAGCTGGCCCTGCTCACTGGGGCTGTGGGAGAAGGTGGTCAACAGGACTGGATTTGCCACAGCTCGACTGCAGCTGTGATCACTATTTACAAGTTTCCTCCACCCTTCTGCATGTCCTGGAGTCCGGGAGTGCGTGCTCAGACATTCCCTCCCCCCAGCTTGAGGACAGCAAGGGCAGAGAAGTGGGCCAGACACCAGAGTCCAGCCCCACAGACAGCCGCTTCCACATGGCGAAGCAGGAGCTCCAAGCAGGAGTACACAAAGAAGGGCTTTGATTGGTGTCTAGCCGGTGGGGCCTCTCCCCTCTTCCCACTGGTGCCTCTCTTGCCCGGCCCTGGGCCTCCCATGAGCCTGATTTAATGGGAGACTTGGGCGATGAGAAGTTCCTTGTGACACACTAATCCCAGCCTTCTGACTGGACCACTGCCCCAGCCAAGGCCACTCCAGAGTTCTGGGAGGACTCCGGTACCAGGTGGCCCCAAGGAGGAGCTGCCGACCTGGCAGGTGAGTCAGTACCAGGGCCCGGGAGCCTAAGACAGGAGTGAGGAGCTGGGATGGGGGTGAGGGGGGTGGCCGACCACATCCCAGGCTGCCTGTAAAACAAACCAGCATGCTAGTTTGCAGGGTGAGCCAGACCTATCTGATGTCACCTTTGGCAAATTCAGAATGCAGAAGGCCTAGTTAATGTGAGTTGCAGACAAATGAGTACTTTTTCAGTCTAAGTATGTCCCAAATATTGATATCACGGTATTTTATCTGGCTATGAGATGGCAGGGAACAGCCTTGAGAGGCAAGTATTTTTTTCATTGCATACAGTTCATAAATAGTACTTTTTAAAATTCAAAACTAACTGCTTTGGGTATATGTAGAGTTGAAGCAGTGACTTTTTACCCTGAGTTTCTAAGATATAGGATCACGTCCTGATTAGCTGCTCACCTGGCTGAGGGTGTCCAACTACCAGTTCCTCCTACCGGAGTTCCAAAATGTCTATTAGCTTCGCCATTCCTGTCCCAGCAAAACCTACATGGTACACACAGCATACCAATCTATCGGTCTCTATGTGCACATATTCGTACATCTGCCAGCCAAAGAGGTGGTTTTTGCTTGGTTCCTGTGGGCAGCTTCCAGCCCCCAGAGCTCCCTGGGATACTCCCTGGGATCCTCCACGTCTCCAGGTGCAAGTTGGGTGATACTCACTACGATGTTAAGAGAGGGAAGAGGTCCATGTTCCAGACCAAGGCACAGTGCCAGGCACGAGATAGAAATCACATGGTCTTCATGACAGTCCTTTTGGGGGGTACTGCTACTGTCCTCAATTCGTACATAAGGAAACTGAGGCCCAGTTAGGTTAAATAACTTGCCTCAGGTCACACAGGTGGTAAATGACAGCTGTCTATCACCGGCTTTCCTAGCGAGTTGGCTCAGAGATGCTTTGGCTCTTCGTGTCAAAACAGACTTGGTGTCAGATAGAGTCGATTCAACTCCAAGCTCTGTCACTCACTAACTATAGGTAGGGGACCCATGAAATCTGGTCACGGATAGGAGCAGGATGGTAAAGGGGCCTCGCAGGCACCAGAGACAGTCAGGAGAGGAGAAAACCTAGGCATAGAAGAGTCGCCTTAAGAGCATGTGGTGGGAAAGCAGGTTGGCACATGCCATGGGTTGGCACATGCCATGGGTGAGAGGCATTCTGTGACGGAGTGCTGCCTGTGTGTAGGTTATTTAGTTATTTAATTACACACCATGACTCTGCTATCCCCACAGAGGACAACCAAGACTCAGGTGAAATCACCCGGCCTGCAAGTGGGAGACACAGAAATGTAAGCCGGGTCCCACTTTGTGCCGCCCCGGCTGCCTTTTTGATGCTGACAAAAATCACAACTTAGATTTGAGTCTCACCCCTCGCTACTTTGGCTGTGTTACCTTGGACAAGTCACCTATTATCCTGCACCTATTTCCACCTGTGTAAACTGGAAATGATATTGTCAGCCCTGACTGTACTGTCCCTCCCGCAAAAAAAAAAGGAAAAAAAAAAGAGAGAGAAAAGGCAAATAATATTTTCTTCTTTTGGCAGTGCTGAGGTTTGAACTCAGGGCCTCATGCTTGCGAGACAGGCACCCTACCACTTGAGCCACTCCACCAGCCAGAAATTCACTGTTTTGAGACAATCGCAGAAGGGTTTCTAATATCACTGCAGGAAAAGTGGGGAGTGGCTCAAGTCGCAGAGCACCTGCCTACCAAGTGTGAGGCTGTGAGTTCAAACCTCAGTACTGCAAGAAAAACAAAAAAACCAAACCAAAACAAAAAACCCAAAGTAAGTGTGCAAAGGTAAGTGCACAATTATTGCAGCCCTGACATGCTCTGCCAGGGACGACTGGGAGAGGCCAGAACAGAGGAAGCAGAGCCTTTCTTTTTCCAAGGACTCAGGGTCTTCCAGAGGCAGTATGTCGGAGGGGGTGAGTACCCTGAGCTCTCCTTCCCTTCTTCCCTCCCTCCCTCCTTCTCCATCAGCTACACCCCATGACCTCTCTGTGGGTCCTAGCACCCCAGAAGAGAGTGGGTTTAACAGTGACCTTGGGCAAAGGCTCTGCAGGGTCTCAGCAGACCCTGGGCTCACTCAGGCATTGGGAAGGGAATGGAGGCTGTTCTTTCTTCTTCCTGATTCCTCTCTGCCCAGGTGGGGACATTCCGCATGATTCCTGAAGAGGAGCAGGACCTCCGGGCCCAGCTGGAGCAGCTCACAACCAAGGACCATGGGCCTGTCTTTGGCAAGTGCAGCCAGCTGCCTCGCCACACCTTGCAGAAGGTGAGATGGCTGGGGGTGCCAGGTGGGGCCTGCCCAGGGAGAGAACATGAGGAGTCATTGTCAGGGATGGAAGTGACAGCATCCTCTCTCCTGTGGTAGGGGTCTAGTCTCACTGTCCAGGTCATCCTGGACCTGAGAATCTGAGCTGTTCTAGAAACCATCCTGGGGATCAGGATCTAGCAGCAGCTGGGCTGGCCAGTCCTCAGGCCAGCCTAATCCAAGACTCCAGGCTGGAGCCTCTGGACTAGGACTCACCCTAGACCCAGCTATAAGGAGCACTAATTAGAAAGTGGCCCTGGTCCAAACTGCTGCCCTCATTGGACAGACAAGAGGCCCAAGTTCTAGAGCCAGATCTACTTCCAAGTTGCTGTGTGACTTTGAGCAAACAGCCTTCCCTCTCTGTGTCTTGCCTTCTACCGTACCTCTGAAATACGGTGGTTGAATTAACTCAGAGATGATTGGACTGTGCTGTGTGGAGGTTGATTGAGCCATCTTTGGGTCACTGGAGAGGATGAAAAGTGGCTGAGCAGAGCCTGGGCTCCTGGCTCCCTTCTCTACATCTCTGGGAAAGTGAGGTAAACCATGATGTTACCCAAAGAGAGAGCTCAGCCATTCTCAAAGATCTCCTTGCCCATCGAAGGGGACGGGGTGGGGAGGGACAGGAGGCAGGCTGCCCTCTGCTGGGGATCTTTGCTTTTGAAAAGCTCAATATCAAGCCTGGGAGGCCACATAAGAGAAGTGATTGAGCTGAGTGGAAGCCTTGCTCTGCCCCTTGGGCAAGAATGCTTCATCTCCAGGAGCCTCAGTCTGCTTGTCTGAGAGATGGGGATAAAAACACCAACAATATCAGGCATGGTGGAGCATGTCTGTAATCCCAGCACTCAGGGAAGCTGAGGCTGAGGGTTGAGAGTTTGAGGCCAACCTTGGCTACATAGCAAGACTATCTCAAAAAAAAAAAAAAATTCAAACCAACCAACCAAACAAACAAAACCCAGCACCCATGATGGGCTGTGGCAAAGACTGAAAAGCACAGTGCCCAGTAAGTGTGGGCAGTTATTGCTAGAGATGCTTTGACAGCTGGGGATATCCTGCAAACAAACAGGACAAGCAGTTTGACCTGACTTTGCGCAAATGTGACCATCAGCATTGCAGACGCTGCCATCGTGGGCAGAGGAGATGGCCCGGCTGCAGCCTCCAGGGTCCTCTCAGTGGGCTGGCTCTGGTAGGAGCCCCACCACCTATGTCCCGCACCCCACCGTGCCCACCTATAACACGGTGTCCGCACACCCTGTTCCAGGCCAAGGACGAGCTGAACGAGAGGGAGGAGACCCGGGAGGAGGTGGTGCGAGAGCTGCAGGAGATGGTGCGGGAGCAGGCGGCCTCTGGGGAGGAGCTGGCCCTGGCGGTGGCCGAGAGAGTGCAGGGAAGGGACAGTACCTTCTTCCTGCGTTTCATCCGTGCCCGCAAATTCGATGTGGGCCGTGCCTATGAGCTGCTCAAAGGTGAGGACTGTGCTGGAGAGATGGCCATGGGAGGGAGTGCAGGGGATGAGGAGGGCGTCCGCTATTCCCTGGCACTAAGAAGACCCATTCCTGCATGGGGAGGTCACTTTCTCCGTCTCCCTATTCTTCCCAGTAAAATGTGTGTGTGTGTGTGTGACTTCCAGACCCCTTCAGCTCTGACAGCAAGTGAACGACTGAGAGTGAATGACTGAGCTAGTGAACGAGTGACTGAATAAGTGAGTGAATGAATGAGTGAATGAATGAATAAGTGAGTGAATGGGTCAGTGAATGAATGCGTGAACAAGTGAACGAATGAATGAATCAGTGAATGAGTGAATGAATGTGCTAGAGGACAGGTGAATGAGCGAGTGAGTGAATGAACAAATGAACGGGTCTGTCAGACCCAGATTTCTGCAGGAATCTCCTCTTCTTTTGATCTTGGGGCTCAAAGAGTAGAACTGGGCTACCATTGGATGTCAAAGGGAGGTGCATCCTCCTCCTGCCGGCCCCCACGTCGGAGTGTCTCTGGAGTGCTACAGGGAGGTGGGTGGGGGCCCCCCACTGCAGTTACATCAAGATAAACCTGGAGTTCAGGGAACTGAAGACAGTGCCCGCCCTGGGAATGGGCCACGGGGACAGCCCTGCCTGGTCCTCTGGAGCAAAGGCAGTTTCCTAAAGAAATCCAGTCTTTGGTGCTGGTGCAGGGAAGGGTGTGGACAGGCCCTCTGTAGACTAGTGGCTTTCTCTGACTTCTTCCCTCCTTCCCCAAATGTCAATTCAGTGCCGTGCTGTGCCAAACACTAGGCAAGGGGCACAGAGGAGAATAAAAAAGACAAGAGTGCCCTGCCTAAATATTCTGACAGTGGACATAATAAACTAGATAAAGAGTAAAGCAGATGGAGGCCGGGCGCTGTAGCTCATGCATGAAATCCCAGCTATGAGGGAGGTGTAGGTAGGAGGATTGAGGTCTGAGGTCCAGACCCTGGTAAAAACATGAGACCCTATCCAAGAGCTAACTAAAGTGAAGAGGGCTGAGGACATAGCTCAAGTGGTAGAGTGCCTGCCTAGCAAGCATGAAGCCCTGAGTTCAAATCTCAGTGCTTAGTGACAGAACACTTGCCTAGTGTGCTCAAGGCCCACAAATCCCCATACTGAAAAGAAAAGAATATAGAGTGTTCAAGATAGGGAATACAGAGAAAAATAAAGGAAAGATACGAAGGGTTGAGGGATTCAAGTTTTAGGTAAAGTGTCAAGGAGAGTCCCAGTATAAAGAAACTTTGGAAGAAAAAAAACCTGAGGAAATGACATGTCTGAGGGAAGAGCAGCTGGACAGAGGGAACAGCAAAGACAAAGGTGAGATGGTGGGATGTGACCGGGTGTTCCAGGACAATGAAGAGGTTGTATGGCAAACTCTCCCCAAACACCTCCTCTGGGCCCAGCCCAGCTCGAGTATCCACACGGAGGCAGGGACCTGTTCAGGCTGGATTAGGATGGAGTTTGGGGACAGTGGAGATGCAGCTGGAATCGGGAAGGACCTCTGTGTCTAGCCTGGAGTTTGGATTTTACCTTGGGGGCTTCTCCCCTGCCTGCCCACACTCCTACTCAGCAAGCCCAGTGTGCAGTGCCCATGGGAAGGAACGGAACAGGAAATCGCCATCCCCATATTTCAGGCTATACCTCACGTTTGCACAGTGCTCAACGCGTGAGCACTAGAACCTCGTGTGGTTGTAACAGTAACTCAGTGAGGTAGGCGGATATTTTTCTCCCTAATTTGTGGAGAGGAAACATGGGCTCGGATAGGTCGAGTATTCTGCTCGGTCACACACAGGGTGGATGTGGAGGAGCCCAGCAGGAGGTGGGGTAGACTGAGGCTGGGAAGGCTTCCTAAGGGGGCTCCCTCCTCCAGGCTATGTGCACTTCCGGCTGCAGTACCCTGAGCTCTTCGATGGCCTCTCCCTGGAGGCTGTCCGCTGCACCATCGAGGCTGGCTACCCTGGTGTCCTCTCCAGTCGGGACAAGTTTGGCCGAGCGATTATGCTCTTCAACGTCGAGAACTGGCACTGTGAAGAGGTCACCTTTGATGAGGTCAGTGGGGGGGTTCTCCCGGCCCCCTCCTCCATGGCTGGGCTGGGCTCCCTCCCCAGGAGAATTCCTAGGATGTGCCAGGACAGCTGGAAAGTCCAGCACCCTCACAGGCAGGGCCCACCGGCCAGTAACACTCCCCCCACCCCATGATCCCCACCAAGTACCGGGGCGGGGTGGGGGGGAACAGCTGCGGGCCAGGATCTGGGCGAAGTGCTACCAAATGCTGAAAGCTGAGCCCGACCGAGGGGACAGAGATTAGTGGACCGTGGGCTGGAAGAGATTCTGGGAAGTGCCCGTTCTCTCTGCAGTTCACGTGTGCAGTTCTGCTTGTCTGAGCCACATGGAAAGCTTAGGACCTGTCTTGGAAGAACTTTGGCATGTGTCATTGAGCTTTAAAAAGATTTTTTAAAATTAGAAGACATGTTACAAACTCATTTTAGAAAGTGCTGTCTAGTTGCTCCAACACTACTTATTGAAGAATCCATCTTTTTGGGCTGGGGGTGTCGCTCAGTGGTAGAGCTCTTGTCTCTCATGGGCAAGGCCTGGGGTTCAACCCCCAGCACCTCAAAAAAGTGCCCATCTCTTCCCGGTGACTTGAGATGTCATCTTTGTCATAGTCTATGTTTTCTTCTGTACGTGGATCTGTTTCTGGAGTTTCTAGTCTGTTTCATTGGTCTCTTTGTGTAGCCCTGCTCCAACGTCACACTGTTTAGTTACAGAAATCTTATGGCATGGGTAATGTGTGTTAGAGCTAGTTCTGTCCTTCTCGCTTTGCCTTTTCTGGGCTTTCTTAAAGATTTATTTTTCCCTATGATTTTTAGAATTAATTTGTTTACTCCCAAGGAACCTTGAGGGTATTTTTCATTGCAATAATGCTGAGTATAAATAACAAATGTGAGTGGCTCACGTGGTAGAGCGCCCGCCTAGTAAGTGTGAGGCCCTGAGTGCAAACCCCAGTGCCACCAAAAAAAAAAAAAAAAAGATGTGGAGAGAATTGGCATCTTTACCGTTGCCACATCCATGGTCGATTGTTCTGTCCACAAACGTGGAATGCTGTCTCTTTTACTCAAGTCTACTTTTGGGTTTTCAGGAATACTTTCACGTTTTCCGCGTAGATGTTGTGCACCCGTCTCTTTAAATTTGTCTTGGGTGTTTATTTTGTTGTTGTTGCTATAAATGGGTCTTTCCCTTCCATTCTTCTAGAAGGTATTGTTTATATATATGAAGATCATCTTCACATGTGCAGTTTGTGTTCTGTTAGCTTACTGAATTTATGTTTATTTTATAATGGATTGTTTGGGTTTTCTAAGTATACTACTGTCTACAAATAAAGAAGAGAGTTTTTCTTCTCTGTTTCTAATTTTTTTTTGTTGGGACTGGGGTTTGAACTCAGGGCTTCAAGCTTGCAAAGCAGGCGCTTGAGCTACGTCTCCAGTCCATTTTGCTCTGCTTATTTTGGAGCTGGGGTCTCAGAATGATTTGCCTGGGCTGGTCTGGAATGGCGATCCTCCTGATCTCAGCCTCCCAAGTAGCTAGGATTACAGGCTAAGTCCTTCCAAGAACTGGAAATCCTTCCATGGGGTTGGAGTTAGTGAGCATCTGTCTTTTCCTGACCTTGTTCTGGATGGCTCCTGGGTTTTCCCACTAAGTAAGATCCTAGCTTTAGGACTGAAGTTTCTTTAAGGAAGAGATTTAAAAACAGAGTTTTTGAGCTGGATGAGTGGCTCAGTAGCAGAGCATCTGCTTAGCAAGCATGAGGTCCTGAGTTCAAATCCCAGTGCCATAAAAAAAACATATTTTTCTTATTACATAAATTGGTATCTATTCTTTTTAGAATATATGAAAAATTGCAAGCAAACCTAAACTCGCCCATAATTCTGCTACTCAGGGAGTTTTACCATTTACCTTCCCACTGATTTCTACATACACAGACACAGACAGACAGACACACGCAAATATCTTTCTTACGACGATGGGGTGGTAGTGCGCAATGATCTGCCGTGAACGCTTCCTTGTCGTTAGACTTCTGTGTCTTTTCTGGGGAGTACACCAGGGTACCCCACAGCTTAGACCTAGTAGAATTGTGCCTGTCCCTTAGTGTCGGTCCCGGTATAGGGACAGGGCTGTGATGTGCTGGCCTCTGCCCATGGATGTGACATTCACGGTCATCTTCTCGGTACACATCACAGAGGGGGACGGTCCTAGACGGAAGCCTCTAGCACCGATTAGTTCTTCCCCACCCCCCCACCCTGACCTTGACCTTGAGCCTGAGTTATCTTCGGGGGTGGGATCTTACGCCCTGCTTGCTCTGTGCTCTAGATCCTGCAGGCATATTGCTTCATCTTGGAAAAGCTACTGGAAAATGAGGAAACTCAAATTAACGGTTTCTGCATCATTGAGAACTTTAAAGGCTTCACCATGCAGCAGGCTGCTGGGCTGCGGACCTCAGACCTTAGGAAGATGGTGGACATGCTCCAGGTGAGGCCCCGGGTCCCCAGTTTCATGTGCTGACACGGACCTGAGAAGTTGACTGGCTAGTACTATAGAGAGCAGTAGTAAGGGCTGGATGTGGTGTTCACACCTATAATCCGTGCTATGGGGTGGTGGAGATGGGAGGATTGCAGCTTGAGACCAGCCTGGGCAAAAAGTTAGTGAGACCCCCATCTCAATAAATAAGCAAGGTGTGGTGGTTCACATCTGTGATCTCAGCTACATGGGAGGTGGAGGTAGGAAGATGGCAGTCTCAGGCTATCCTGGAAAAGGAAGAGACCCTATCTGAAAAATAACTAAAGCAAAAAGGGCTGGGCAGGTAGCTCAAGTGATAGAGCACTTGCTTAGCAAGTGTGGGATCCTGAGTTTAATCTTCAGCATGACCGAAAAGACAAAAAAAAAAAGAGCAGTGAAAACCACAAACTTGCACAGCGATGAGAGTTTGTCAGTCACGTGGTCTTTATTTCATTGACTCCTCAGGAGTATTTTCTCCCTGATTTCCTGCTCAGGGATTTAAGTGACTTCTCAATGTCACACAGCACTAGAGTGGCAGAGGCTGGACTTGACCTAACTTCCATCTCCTGACCAGAACCCCAGGCTCTCTGTCAGTGCGTAGTCCACTGCCTCTCTTTGCTTTGTGACTTTGTCCTGAGGGAGGGGCATCAGCAACTCTGCCCACTTACTCCTGTCCATCCTGACGGGAGGGCCAGCGTCCCCTCTTAGCCCTCCTTAGATCTGCTATGTGTGTGTTAGGAAAGACTAGGTGGGAGGTCGGGGCCCTGGAAGGGACTGAAGGACAATGAAACGTGACAATGGTGTCCCTGTTGTCTGCAACTGCAGTCTGCTCAGTGGGTTTGAATAAACCCAATCGCTAAGCATCCAAGCAAGACTTCCATTCCATTTCTTTACCGAATTCCGGGGTTCTGCATGGGTGGGAGGCATAGAGGCTGCCTCACTTCTGCGGCTTCCTTCCTGCACCTTGGTGCTTCAGAGAAGCTGAGGCTCGCCGGTGGTCATCCTGGGGACAGAGCCTTCAGTGGGCTGTCCTCCAGAACTACATGGATGCTGGACAAGTCTGTCCTCATGCCACGGGGAGAGGCAATGTGTGTGTGTGTATGTGTGGTGAATGGGAGCCTCCGAGGCCACTGGGGCCATGTGGGTCCCCTCTCTGTCACCACAGGACTCCTTCCCAGCCCGGTTCAAAGCCATCCACTTCATCCACCAGCCGTGGTACTTCACCACCACCTACAATGTCGTCAAGCCCTTCTTGAAGAGCAAACTTCTTCAGAGGGTGAGTGTGTGGCCTGTCCAGGGCAGATGCTCCACGAGCTGGCGAGTGGGTGAGGACCTCACCTGAGCCCTCCTCTGACTCTGTGCTTCGGTCCTGAGCTGAGTGGACCTCCCTGACAGCACAGCACAGAGAGCTGTGGAAAAGGATGTCATCAGGCCAAAGATGGCAACTGCGGCTTTGTCCCTCTGTCCCTCTCTTCTCCTCCTCCCTCATCCTAGGCCGCCGCCCACTCAGCTGCCTCCCTCATTTCCCTGCAGGTCTATGTCCACGGAGATGACCTCTCTGGCTTCTTCCAGGAGATTGACAAGACCATCCTGCCTGCTGACTTTGGGGGCACTCTGCCCAAGTATGACGGCAAGGTCACTGCAGAGCAGCTCTTTGGTCCCCGGGCCGCAGCTGAGAACACAGTGTTATGAGAACATGTCCTGCCATTGGAACTGTAGCTAGCTCCCCTGGCCTCTGCTCGGCTGTCCTGGACCCAAGGCTGGACAAAGGGCTGCCCAAGGGAACTGCGTCTCCCCCAAGCCTCCCTAAGCTTAGGGGAGCTCAGGTGTCACCTTGGTCCCAAGCTGGATGGAGCAAGCGAAGCAGGGGAATTCTCTTGGATAGGTGAATTGGGGGCAGTTCGAGTCCTCCTGCTTCTGAACCTGTAGGACAGTGACTTGTGTGAGTTTGAACTTCAACGACTCTAGTTACTTAGGCCTCACAGCAATTTCCTTTGTAACAGTTCTGCTATCCAGGGTAAAAAACAGGCAGAGACTGGGTTCAAAGCCCCCCCAGACACCCGATAACAATAAAAAGAAGATTTAAAGAGATTTAAGTTCAAACAATTTGACAAACGAGTGATCTTGGCGGTGAGGGGTTTTCCACACAGAATTCTGGGGTGGAAGCAGCCTTGGAGCAGCTTCGTTTTGGGGTGGCCAGCTCCCCTCATTCAGGTGCAGCCCTGATGTACATGGTGACAGCTAGGAGCCTGGACCTCTTTCTGGGTGGCAACCTTGTCTCTGTCCATCTGTCTTGGGGGAGTGATGTCCTTCCCACCAAAAGCTCAGTCCTCCAGACCCCATGCCTTGGTGGTATCTTCTCTGTCCTCTGTCCTCAATAATCCAGCTAAAGCTCTTTGTGCTCACCTTCAGGCTCTCTACAGCGACGAAATTACACTAAGTCTGCTCTGCAAGTTTTGGCAAGCACAGATGCTGTCCTCCATGGGGCTGGCTTTGTGATGTTTGAGTGTGTGCTCATTTTTACGGCTGAGAATCCCTGCGAGCAAGTAACTTCCTCCTTTATACCAGGCACGGTCAGTGGCTCATGCCTATAATCCTAGCTACTTGGGAGGCTGAGATTGGGAGGATCGTAGTTCAAGGCCAGCCCGGGAAAAATAGTTTGAAAGATTCCATCTTAAAAAAAAGCAGAGCAAAATGGACTGGAGGTGTGGCTCAAGCGGTAGAGCACGTGCTTTGCAAGAGGGAAGCCCTGAGTTCAAACCCCACTCTCACCAAAAACCAAACCAAACCAAACCAAAAAAACCCAGCACAGTCAGCAGTCCATGGTATTTACTCAGTACTTCTGAGCTGGAGGTGGAGTCATGGCAAATTATGATTGTTCTGGGCAGAACGGGGAGAGGTTGACCAATGAGGACCCCCCCACACCAAGTCCCTCTTAACTACTTCGTAAAAGCTGAGGCTCCCCATTTTCAAATCAAATCTTATACAGACCCTTAGTATATAAACCTAAAAGGAAGCTCCTAGGGCTGGAGGGGGCTCAGCAGCTCCACCTCTCACCCTGCGGCACATCCCAGGAGCTCCAGCTCTAGGAAGACATTCAGGGACGGGAGTGTGGGTAATAATGTCCGTTGGGAGCTGGGTGTGGTGATGACAGTGGAGACAAGCATTGTCCAGGTGGAAGGCATTGGGGACCTCTGCAGAGGTGGCAGAGCAGGAGACAGCAGAGATGGGGATGAGTTAGAGAATTTAAAGGAATGAGTACTTTTCATGGTTTCAAGATACACTTCAAGAGTTATATCCCAGGACCGGCAGAGTGGCTCACGCCTGTAATCCTAGCCACTCAGGAGGCAAAGGTCAGGAGGATCGCAGTTCAGAGCCAGCCCAGGCAAATAGTTCGAGGGACCCAATCTCAAGAAAACCTATTACAAAAAAGGGCTGGTGGACTGGCTCAAGGTATAGGCTTTGAGTTCAAATCCCAGTACACACACACACACACACACACACACAAAAGAGTTATATTCCAGTGCTGGCAGAGTTGCTCAAGTGGTAAGAGTGCCTGCCTAGCAAGCATGAGGCGCCCTGGGTTCAAACCCCAGTGCTGCCAAAAATGAATAAATAAAATAGTTATATTTCAAATCTGAGGGGAACAGTGGTCAGTGGTTAATCCTGTTTGTTGGTTGACTCCTATCTCTCCTCCAGCCCCTAAGTGCCAGGAATCTTCCTGGGGGCAACCCAGACCTTCATGATTTGTGGCATCTCTAAATCTATGAGTGAGATCAGGATGGAGGAGAAAACTGCAGGCAGATGCCAGGCAGCAGGCTCTTGGTACAGCCGTAGCTTTTACTCAAACCCTAACAGGCTGCTGGGGTCCCCCTTAAAGTCTGCAGGACCAGGGCGTTAGCTCAGGGACCCTGTCTGACAAGAAAACCCAGTGACTTTCTGAGGAGGAAGTCAGGAGGTTGAGAGCTGGTGAGTTTGCTCGACTGTGGGCTTGCACTGCCCCCTGCTGTCCTCATCTGGGCACGGGCTGGGCTGGATGGACCAGGCAGACAGGCCACCCTGCCTGGGAAGGTGGTGCTGCACTTGGGAGAATGGGTATGAGGTCCATGAATGTTAAAACCTGACCTGTTCAGCCCCACAAATTCCAGCTGCCTATGTATGTGATTCTCTAAGTGCCTCCCCAAAATGAGCAGAGGAAGAGGGACAATAAAATACTCTCGAAAGCCATCAGCCATAGGAAGGGGAACAAGGAAGCATTACTTTTATGACAATCATTTGTTGCCCAAACAGCTTCTTTCTGCCACGCAGTAATTGGAGCAGAGCAAACTGGAAGGTGGTGTCAGGGTTACATTGCTGTCCTCGTGACCCTCTGGGAATGGGGACAGCAGATTCTGAAGGCCATTCTTCCAGGGGTGGGTGAAGAGCTCAGTAAACAGCCCTAGCTTCAGAGAGCCTTGGAACGGGATTAGCCACTGCTCGGAGCCTCGAGCTCACCAGGCCATATACTGGAGGAGGCCAGTGCTGCCTAGTGGCCTGGTGATGCCTCCTGGAAGAGGCATGTGCCCTTGTCTTACAGCAGCCAGCCAGGAAAAGAGGTGGAGGGGCACCTGAGGGGAGCATTGGACCATCTCTGCTCCCACTTCTGTGGGGGGCCCACGTGGCTCTGGTGCAGAGGAAATGCAGCAGGCTTGGTGTGGAAGCTTACGGGACCTCCTGGAGCTTCAGCATTCATGGGGTGCTCCTTGCACACTGCCCTGCCTGGGTGCTTGCCAGCGAGGCAGAGTTTAGGTCCCACTGCAGACTCTCGGGCCTGCATATTTACTGTAACGTCAGAGGACGGCACTTAAAGAGCTCATCAAAGCATCCAAAGCACTGGTTTGCAATCTCTCTGCCTGCTGGAACCCTCTGGGAAACTAAAATTACTCTAGCCTGGACCCAGCCCCAGAAAGTTTTTTCTTTCTTTTAGGTAGTACTGGTTTTGTTTTGTTTTGTTTTTTGGTGGTATTGGGGTTTGAACTCAGGGTTCTACACCTTGAATCACTCCACCAGCTCTTTTTTGTGATGGTTTTTTTCAAGATAGGTTCTCACCAACTATTTGCCTGGGCTGGCTTTGAACCACTATCCTCCTGATCTCTGCCTCCTGAATAGCTAGAATTATAGGCATGAGCTTCTGGTGCCCAACTGTTGGTACTGGGTTTTGAACTCAGGGCCTCATGCCTGCTAAACATGCACTCGAAGACTGGGTGAGTCAACCCCAGTCCTTGTTTGCTTTAGTTGTTTTTCAAAAGGTCTTGTTCCTTTTCCTTGGCTGATCTTTGACGGTGATCTTCCCACCTCTGCCTCACATGTAACTGGGGGATTACAAGCATGACCACCACACCTTGTTCTGAGTGAGGGTCTCAATAACTTTTTGCTTAGGATGGCCTCTCATCTCTACTTCGCAAATAGCTGGCATTATAGGTATGTATCACCATGCCTGGCCCTGTCCCAGATATTCTGATGTTCTTGGTCTGGCATACAGCCTGGGCATCAATATCTTCCCAAGTTCCCTAGGTGGCTCAAAAATGTCCTGCTTGGGACTGGCACCGGTGGCTCACGCCTGTAATCCTAGCGACCCAAGAAGCAGAGATCAGGAGGATCACGGTTCGAAGCCAGCCTGGGAAAATAGTTCACAAGATCCTAGCTCCAAAATACCCATCACAAAAAAGGGCTGGTGCAGTGGTTCAAGGTGAAGACCCTGAGTTCAAAACCAGTACTGCAAAAAAAAAAAAAAAAAAGAAAAAAGAAAAAAAAAGTGTCCTGCTTAAGCCCTGTGTGGATGTACAGAGAAGGTGAGGCACCAGAAGCGCCTACACTGCTGTCGCACTACTTAAGGATTTAATGCACTTGAGCAGAGAGGACAGGCAAGCTAGGCTGCCGGTCTTCCACTAGGGCTGCAGAGCCCGTGCGGGGAGGCAGCACTCACAGGCCGAATGTCTTGGAATAGGAGTGAGTTCCTGCCTGGGGCTGTGCCCAGAGGTAGCTCTGTCAGCAGGCAGGATGCCTTGGTTTTTCTAGGGGGCCATAGGGAGGAGATTAGGATTAGGGTTGGACAATCACACACACATCCAGGCTTATCTCAGCTTTCCTCCTGGATGCCATGGTATGGAGCTTAACATGCGGACAATTCTAGTTTTTTTTCTTACGTATTTTTTTGGTGGTATTGTCATTTGAACTCAGTACCTCATGCTTGCTAGGCAGGTGCTCTACTGCTTGATTCACACCCCCAGCCCCTTTTAGCTTTAGTGATTTTTTTGGTTAAGGTCTTGTGTTTTTCTCAGGGCGGGCCTCAGATCACTATCCTTCTGCCCATCCCTCACCTATAGTTGGGATCACAGGCATGCACCACCGTGCCCAGATTGAGATGGGGTTTTGCTAACATTTTTCCTGGGCTGACCTTGAATTGAAATTCTCCCTATCTCTGCCTCCTGAGTAGCTGAAATTATACGCATGAGTCACTGCGCCTGGCTGGGAACTTCTAGTTTCTACCCTGGCTCGGGAGATGATTTTTGAGTGGAAACCAAACAGACAAAGCCAAAACCACTGTCCAAAGTAACATGAGCTCTTTGAAGAGAGTTATTTGAACCTCTCAATGTCTTGAGGCAGGCATTCTTATAATCATTCCTGTCTTCCAGGTTAAAAAAAAAAAATCTGACCTTAAATCCTACTTAGGGTCAGAGGGTTAAGAATGGGGCCCTGACCCAGCAACTCTGATTCTAAATCCCTTTGGCTTTGTTGCTACTCATGCTTTACCTTTGGGGGCAGCGGAGGAGCAGGTGGGAGAGGAAAGAGGAACAGCGAAGTGAGTACTTCATTTATACCAGGAAAATTTCCCCAAATAAAGGAGGAAATAACCAGTGGTGGGTAGAGATACTGAGGTATTTCCAACTGTAGTATCAAAACGAAGTTCTGGGTGTCACTTAAGCCACAGGGAGAGAGGCGTTTAATTCTTCCCCTTTGGGGACAGATTCAGCAGTTCAGGGCCAAATTCTGTGTAATGTCTTTCAACCACTCAGATAAATGGCAGGCACCTTCCTGTAACACGCTCTAAGGACACTCAAGAGAGAAATGAGGAGAGGAGGCTGTTATCTGGAGGGTCATCCAGTTAGGCATTTTGTTCTCACCATGGGAAAGTGTTCCACAGAGGACCAGGGCCTTGGTCCTTGTTCAGGAGAGGTACAAGGAAAAACGTGTCAGCGGTAGTGATGGCCAGGGGTTTACATCACAGGTGGAGCACATGGTGACATGCTGCTGGCACCCACCTCCCGAAACCTCTTCCATGAATTCTCTCATAGCTAGTGTTCTTTGCAAGTTGCATTTCTTGGCCAAAATAGTCTGGTTCGTGGGAGACAGGAAATTGGGGAAAACATGCCTAGCAGAGGGAGGAGCTTTGAGATGTGACACTGGGCGTTGTGAGATCTTGTTAGTACACACCTTCCCAAGTCAACACTCCCCATCTGGCCTAGTTTGGCAAAGGCTGTGTATGGCCAAGGAAGGAGGAGAGCCCCAAGTGCCAGGCTCTTGGTAGTACAGCTTTCCTGGCTAAGCCTGCTGGGCCTGAGAGATCCTTCTTATGGGCTCAGACAGATCCCAGAGAGAAGAAAATACCACCATTCCCCATCCAACCTGATGTGATTTTGATTCAGCAACACTCACCTGGTCTTTCAAAGAACATTATTCCAAGACCATGTAAGTCGTGCTTACTTTTTCCATTGGCCTGGCATTTTGCCTACATGGTTGACTTTAGGAAGTGACTGACATGTCGATAGCTTACTTATTTCACTTCTTGGCTTGTGAGGACATGTGTGGGCCAGTTGTGTCTTTGGCGTTTGTTTGCAAGGCTGGGGAAATGGGAGTTTTGCATAGTTCCCTAAGCACAGAGTGCAGCGAAGACAGGAGGAATCCTTTTAGGTAGAAAATCCCCACTAGCTGGGTATAGTGGCTCATGTCTGTAATCTCAACTTCTCAGGATTGTGGTTCAATGCCAGCCTGGGCAAAAAAAGTTAGCAAAACCCCCTCTCAATAACGACAACAAGAAAAGCTGGGTGTGGAGGCTCACGACTGCCATCCCAGCTACATGGGAGGTGTAAGTAGGAGGATCACAGTCCATGCTGGCCCTAGGGAAAAATAGCAACAGCAAAAAGGGCTGGTGGAGTAGCTCAGGTGGTGGAGCACTGGCTTAGCAAGCACAAGGCCCTGAGTTTAAACCCCAGTACTGGAGAACCACAACAGAAACATCTCCACTAGACAAACCACACCAGCCGTGCTACATTTTTAGTCTTTATTTTTTTTAAGTAAAGAAATTCCATTGAATTAAAGATAAGAAAATTACAGTTTTGTTTGTAATCATCTTTCTTCACTACCACACAGAATCAAAAGTAATATGAGAACAGAAAATGGTCAAGGACACCACTGTTTAGTATCATTTCTTAATAAAGGTAAATATCTTCAGATTTAGAAAAAGTTGCATTGCTAGTTGCAAATCTTAAATGCCTCCGTTCTGAAGGATCCTGTACCCCCCCCACCCCCCCACTCCCCGAAAAAGATCCAGCAGCCTGGAGGCTTTCAGTACACAAACTCAAAAATACAGTTATTTTCGGGGCAGCATTTTAAGTTTTAGAAAACTCAAAGAGAACAACACAAAACAAAACACAAAAAACAAGAATCGGGAATGTGAAAGGGATGGTTTTCGTACATCAATCTGCAAGCAGACCCGCCAACCTAAGAATATGTTGACCAGGAAAAGGAGAGCTGCAAACTCGCTCCCCTCCCCTGCCCCTGGCGTCACTAAGGCAGCAGTGGCAGAAGTCGAAAGCTCGGATGCAGTGAAGGTCGTCTGGAACTGGTATGGGGAGATGACAAGATTCTACGTGGACCTGTGCTTTAGGAAAACCAAAGAGGCCAAAATGAAAACTGAGCAAGAGTGAAGTCTGACATCTAGGACCATGGTCCACCCAAGAGTCTGGGAGAAACGTGGTGGGGGCTGGGAACAGGGGGGTTGGCAACTGTTCTGGGGGTCAATTGTCTGCTCAGTGCGGGAGGAAAAAGCCAATGAGATTAAGGCGATTTCTGCAGGGCCTATTAAGAGGACTGTCCCCAACTTATGGCAATAGTGGATTTCTTGGCTAATGGGGACCAGAAAGGGGAGAAGGGAGGTTATGTATCTCATTCTTAATTGAGAGGAGTCAAGTTCACAGCTGAGGACTTCATGGAACTCAGGGGGTCAGACATAATCCACCAGTCAGAAATAATCTTTACCTTGTTTATCAGCGACACATGAAAGCTTTCTCCACGTGCATGCTAGGAAAAACTAACATGGTGGACCGATTCTTCCAAAGGGAAGGCCGCTTACGTTCTGGGAGGGCGTGTGGGAATGGCTGGCGAGTTGGACTCTGTGGCCTGATCCCAAGGGCCAATATGCGACACGGGGCTACCACATGCCGAGGCGGGAGCGGCGGCAACACAGGCGAGAGACAGGGGCCTGGGCTCTGGATGTTCTGGTTCCCTCTGCCAGCAGAGCCCGTCCCCTTTTCTTCAAATATGATTTGGCCAAAGCAAGCTGAACTGGGGGTGCTTCCCTCTACTCAGGTAACAAAGTGACAGAGAACACTGGCCGCAACTGCTTAGCTCTAACTGCCACAGGCCCGCCACTTTTCACGGCTTTTTGAAGCATTTGAGTACTCCAAAGTAGCTCTGAACAAGAGTAAGGCCAGGAGGACAGAGGAGCCAGAGATGAGGCAACTGAGCCCATTCTAGATCAGTGGTGCTGCTGGGGGGGTGGTGTGGGGGGCAGAACATAGTTAAGAGCCTTTGAGGAATTCTGTTTTGACCATGGCCTTGCTCGAGCTTCCATAGCAGAAGAGTATGAATTCCTACGCCTCAATGTTGGTGTAATTCCAGGGGGCTTTCTAGAGGCAAGTTAAGGCTTTCTGGGCAAGGAAGACAATTCCAGATGAGATTGTGACACATAGCGAAATGCTCCTGTCTGCCTAAAGCACAAAGACCTGAGCTCCTTCAGTTCCATGCAGTGTTTCAGTGAGCTTCCGCTCCAAGTCAGGATCAAGGTCACAGGCAAAGAAAGGCCTCTCACGTCTCTGACACCTGCTTGTTGGTGACCACAAGCAAGAACACATGTATTGTTTCCCTGGGGCTGGCAGAATCCAGCTCAAGTCCCCATTTACAAAGAGGGCTCTCATTCAGATGCAGGCCACACACGCTCAGCTGCCCCCAAAAGCTTAGATCCAGGAAGACTGTGGTTTAGAATGAAAGCCTGGGCAGGAAGGATTCTGCCTGGGAATTAACTCTCCGTGCACTGCCTGGATGGAGATAGTTCTCTCACTCTGGCACCTGCCACAGTCACGAGACCACCCTCAGAACAGCGAGGACGCCATGGTGATAACGGAGACTTGAAGAGAGACCAGTCAAAGACAGAGCTTTGGCTGACATCCAGGGTCCTAACCAGGAAAAGCTGAATGGACAAACTCCCTCTCCCCAAGGCCCCTGGAGATAAGCCTGGGGCCGTGACCCTGCCTTTTCCTGTTTTCACCTGCAATGGCCAAGTTCAAACAGATGTTTAGCAATGATCAGACAAATAATATGCAAATGGATGAGGTGTCTTAGAGATGCCCTAGGATGAGGTAACAGGCTCAGAGAGGTGAAGTGAGTTGCCCACTTGTCCAGTATGAATTAGAAGTGGGGGTAAGAAGCTAAGCCTCTCTGACTCTGGTTCTATAACATGAAATTAAGAAAGGAATACCCCCTTTCAGGTATATTTCTACTGTCATGGTAGATCCCAAGGTTCCCTGCAAGTGAAAAATGCCACACAGAGGTCATAAGAATATGGTAATGACAAACAACTCTGTGTCTTCACTCTGTTCTGCAATCATTGGTGCAGACTCACTGGAGGATGGAAAAAAGGTTTTCTGCAAGTCTGCTAACCTTCCTTGTAACACAGGTACATCAGAGAGACTATCAGGTCAGATAATTCTGGTTTGACAGGAATCACTGTCTTCAAACTGGAGGCAGGGCGCTTTGCTAGAGAAATGTGGTGCTTCTCCCTCTCAGCTTTTAACATTATCCCTGCCACAGAATTGCCCAGAGTGCTGCAGTTTATCCTAAATTTGATTTTAAAATAGAACATGCAAACACTCTAAAAATATAACCAAAATAAGACCTCAATAGCACGAAGGGCATTTCTACCATCACCAGAACTGAGAAGGAAAGCAAGGAAGGCCAGAGAAAGGAAGAGTGACCCGCATCTAAAGTGTGTCCCCTCATTGACTAGACAAGTTTGCATCTCTGTGCTCTCATTCAAGGACAAACAAGAACTGTCCTGTAGGATTGCCACAGTCATGTTCTCATTTCCATCCCCGAGAGCCCAAAGCTTGAATAAAGGGCTTCAGTTGATTTCATGTGAACCAAACAAAATGGAAAGTGAGTGCTATTCAGAGTCACACACTGAGAGGCTTCAGCTGGATTGTGCCTGCCACCGGTCCTGGGGGGGAATTCCGGCTGTGTGACAACAAAAGCTGTGCCCCAGTCCTGCCTGTCCTCCTCAGGTCTCCAGGACCCCTGTGCAGACCAGGCTCCCCCACTGCCTCCCAGTGTGTGACACAGGACTGACTTTTCTCCTGAAGGGGGTGCTACTTGAGCCACTACTTTGTCAGTAGGTCCAGAGATGTGGCCTTAGCCCCTCGCCTCAGGGACGGTGATTCAGTCCTACTACGTTATTGCTTGATTGGCCTATCTTCATAAAGTCTTGAGGAATGAAGGGAGGAGCAGGAAACAGATTTATGAATCTTCTAGATTAGAGCTGTGGTTGGGTGGAGGGAAAAGTAACAGGAAGGAGAGGGACTAGCTTTCAAGCTGAGGGGTAGATGATAAAAGTGCCAATTTGTACATTACAGAAATAAAAGCCACAGTAACAGAATTTGGTGAGGGTGAGAAATTAGACTGAAGCAAAGTCAAGACCCAGAAATCTCTTTTGAGGGAATGGCTGTTTCTGAGATGATTGGGAGGATAAGGTGATTGTCAGAAGACAACTTGTTCAAGTTACAGACATTACTGTCACAGTCACTCCACTTCCACCTGTGGCCGAGGGTCACATTCAGGCATTCCAATGGCTCCTTCATCCCTTAAACACCCACAGAGTCATGCCATACTGCAGTCTGTCACTCAGGTTCTGTCGCTTAGAGTCCTGTTTAGTTCCAGATAGCAACTGCTGATTTCGCAAAGTTCAGGGTTCTTAGGTGTCAAGTACAACAGGACTGCAGAGGAGTATGTGACACCTACCTTGACATGTCCACTTGAGAGAACATTCTAGAAAGATCCATCCAACAGACAACAAACAGAGGCTATTCGGTTAAACAGTTGGTTTCAAAATAACACCCTCTTGAGTTGGAAATAACTTTCCTTGAACTCAGAACCAACTTTTGATCTGCTTGGTATCAAAAGCCAGAATTAGAGGGACCTCCTGGGTTTAAAAAACTAAAATTACCATTGAGTGTTAAAAAGATTCCCCAAAATCTTTCTACGAAACAAGGGGAAGAAAAAGAAAGGCAGGCAGATGCTGACATCTACATGCTCAAACTGGTTGAGTGGCCTCTGGGTCCCCCTGGTTCTCTCAAACCTCAGGACACTGAGTTTGTCATTGAACTTCAGAACTGGTGGTCACCTCGGCAATCAACCTGGTCCAAGCCCCCATGTCAAAGGTACAGAGACTCAAGTCCAAAGGGACATTTCCAGGGTCATACAGCCGGCAAGAAGCAGACCCCATGCCCATTCCCACCCAGGGCGTTTTTGGGGACATCACATTGCAGTCACACGAGGGCAGCTCCACAACAGGCCTGGCTGTGTTGGAGGCCCCTGGGAGCAAAGAGACATGGTTGACTATGAATTTCAACAAAATGAGCCACCAACGACTTCTAAAAGTGCTGTAGAGTCAGGTTTCCCATATTTGCTTGGTGATGAGAGTCCCCTGGGGCACTTGTCAAAAATTAAAATCCCCAGACTCCTTCCCAACCCCACTGAACCAGCCTCTCTGAGGGGAGGGACCTGGGAGGCCGAATTTTTAAAAAGTGCCCCATGCAACCCTCAGCAGCAAAGTGTGAGGACGTGCCTTAGGAGAAACGTGGCTTGAGATTCAAGGGAATTTTTTTTCCCCAGTGCTGGGGATGGAGCCCAGGGTCTTGAGCATGCTAGCAAGTGCTCCACCACTGAGCCACACCCCTGGCCCTTTTTCTGTGGCACGTTAAAGGCAGCACTCACTCTGGCCCAGGAGACCCAGACCCTCAGACTCCAGCTGAGCTGTTGTCAGGGTTTAGATAAGGTCACGGACAACTGTCACAGGACAGCACACATCCTTCACTGCTATCAGGGAAAAGCCTTTTGTTTGGCAAAGCAAAACTGCTGTTCAGACACATTTTTTAATAGGGAAACTAGATGTAATTGGCTTAAAAGCAATCAGATGCTGAAACTGGACAGGGAGGTGAGAATCCTGTCGCTTGCTTGTCACCATTGGAGAAAACCAGTAACTAAGCACAAAAATAGCCTGCAGCCCCCAGGGTGAGTGCCTACTTGAGACAGGTGTACATGGTGGGTGGTGCCCGCTGACGGTGTGAGGTCAGATCCAGGTCACAGAGGGAGATGGGAGACCTGGAACAGCGGGGTGGGGGTGGGGGAGAGGACGCAGGTTCCAGAGGGCCACTGGAGTGCGTCAGAGTCCAGAGGCCTCATTCCAGCTCGGCCTCCACCTGCTCGGTGTCGGAGCACTGCAACTTGCTCCGTTCCCACTGGCAAATGGCATTGGCGTACTCCACCACCAGCTTATCCATCCACGTCAGGGGCTCGGGAAAGAGCACAGAGCCCTCGAAGAAGCCCAGGTGGCCCCCGTGCAGAGGCAGCACGAACATCACGTTCTCCCGTTTCTCTGAAGGGAAGAACACCCGCATTACAGCGCCCTAGTTGGCTCCAGGGCTGGAGATCAGAGGTGTGCTGTTGGTGGGGCAGAGGTCAACTTTGCTCACCCAAGTGGGACAGGCTTTGATGGGTGGGTGAGTCAGTGAGACCTCACCAGTTTGGGAACAGAATGAGCTCCACCTTCAGAAATCCTTAGAGCTCTATGTGGTTATCAAATTTGGCTCCAAATTAGAATTACCTGAAGAGTTTTTAAAATCCCCTAAATCCACAGACTGACTAGATCAGAACCTGGGGGAGGAAAAGGGGAGGAGTAGAGGGAGGGAACCCAGGCACAGGTATTGTGACCTCCCCAGGTTACACCTCCCTTTGTGCCTCTGGGATATTTTTTAAAATGCAGGGTCTGACTTGCTAATCTGGCGGGGGACACCTTCTGAGGAGGGGCTAATAGCACTGAGAGGACAAATGTTAGAGAACAAGGAGAATTCTGTGGTGTCAATGACTTTTCTCACCAGGCATTACTCTTCCAAACTTTAGCTGCAAATTGTTAAAGGACGCCCAAGCTGTCAAGGCCACATACTAGATGGCCAACCCCAGAGTGGACAACCTCTATGAATCCATGTTTAGGTTGGTCCCATGCAGGCTAGGAAAGGCCAGGACTACAAGTGTGTGGGAAAGGGTTCCACAAGAGGCACCTGTCTTCCCAAGGGAGTAAAAGATAGTGTCCCCTTTGCTTGGTCTACCAGCCTCTTCTTTTTTGTCTTTCCCCCTTTATTCTCCCTTTTTAGCCACTTTTACTTTTCTGTGTGACAGCACTGTGAATGTCACTGTGAGGTCCACAGTAAGTGCTCCTGCTTTCTCTCACTGCTGTGCACGTGGCTGAGTGGGCTGTGTGTGTGCAGGGAGCCTGAGGTTGATGGGAGATGGTGCCTGGAGATGGTGCCTATCACATGACAAGCCTCCCACACATGCAGCCTCCATGCTGAGCAGTGTAACAGAGCTCTGGCAGGCTGTGGCCCTGTATCTGCTATGTCATCTACCCTTTCAGCTGGGGGCCTGAGAGAAGCAGAGGGCTATCTCTCCCTTCTAGTTCCTATGATATTTGCCAGAGGAAATTTAATCAGAGGACAGAGAGGGCAGGAGAGATGTCCCAGTGGTCTGAAATCACAAAGTAACTGTGGAATCCTCCAGTCTCCTGTTTTTTCTCTCTCTCCCTTCTTTAGTGCCTGTCTGCACAGTAACGTTCTATGAGCAATGTTCTCTGCCATTTCAGCTGCTTATATTTTTATCCTCAAAGCAGATGGAGAGGCTGTTATCAGAGGTAGCAGAATTGGCTTTGTTTGTTTTGCTTTCCAGGACAAATTTTAAGTCTAAAAATCTCTTTAAGTCAAACTCTATTTAATGGAACCATGGCCCTGAGAGAATTTTGCAGAGTACCAGCTGACCCCCCTTCAAGGCCCTCTTGGCAAAGGACATCAAGGATGGTCCTTCCTCCTGCACAGGATGGAACTCCAGAGGCTCTGCCCAGGTCCTGCCAGCCCTAGGACTACCAGGCTAGGCAGGGTAAGAACACCACCATGAGAAGGCCCTTCCCAAAGAGGCTGCTCCCCAGGAGCTGACAGCACAGCAAAGGTGACAGGATTTACTGTGGCAGTTTGTTGAGAGGCTGGGGGGCCCAGTGGGAAGGCACACTAACCTGAGAGAGATTTTGGAATGGTCAGCAGACTTTCATGCACCAACGGGTCATCAGCTGCGTTGACCAGCATGAGAGGCACATAGATCTGCAGTAAGGAACCAAGCAGGGTGAAATTATTAACACGGACTCAAGGCCCTAGTTCACTACCAGACCTGTCTTTGAGGCAAGGAGAAGAGGGTCCCGACTCAGCCTGTTGAACAGGTGGGTCACAAACATCACACACACTGGTTGTGATCGCTGCCTGGCAGTGGGTGTGTGCAGGAGCAAAGCTCCCAGTGTCCTAAGGGACTGTGCGCTCTGATGGAGACAGGGAGTTGCTCAGTGACACTGGCAAAATATTTCTGGTTATCTTCACAGTGTTTCAGATTAGCCAAGCCTTTCAGAAGACATGACTTTATCAAGAGTCATGTACACAGTCCTTCAGTTCACACTGTGGGGAAGAAAAATGAAATGTGTTCTGCAGACGAAGGATACTTTCTAGAAGGATCTGAAGGCAGAGAACAGGAGTGGGAGCTGGGGGCATGGTGGTGCATACTGATATCCTAGCACTGGGAAGGTGGAGGCAGGAGGACCGTGAGTTGGAGGTTAGCCTTGGTTTCAATAGGGAGTTCAAGGCTAGCCTGGAGGCACACAGGAAGACCCAGTCTCAAAAAACCAAGGGCTGGGGCAGTAGCTCAGTGTAGAGCACTTGTCTAGCATGTGCAAGGCTCTGGTCTCCTTTTGCTTTTTGGTGGAGATGGTACTGATGGCGGGGAGTGGGTCAGGGGACAAAAGTTTGTATAAAAAGAGTGAGTGTGCAAAGACAGAATGAGAGAGACTGGCTTGGTGGTAGTTCGGGTTCAAACACATATGGAGATTTTGTTTGCGCACACACTAACACACAGAAAGTTGATTGCAGCTGCTAAAGACCACATCTGTGCAAACGGTCTACTTGCCTGCAGACATGGTCCTTATCACTTTGATACAGAAAGTGATATACCTGCTCCACTCTGTGCTGGCCAGATCATGGCAGAAACTTGGAGTTTAGTTCTAAGCAACACACAAATTAAGATACACAATGGGCCAGGTGCTGGTGGCTCACACCTGTAATCCTTGCTACTCAGGAGGCAGAGATTAGGAGATCACGGTTTGAAGCCAACCCAGGGCAAAAAGCTCATGTAAACCTTATCCTGAAAAAAACATCATACAAAAGGGTTGGTGGAGTGGTTCAAGTTGCAGACGGCTGCATAGTTAGAGTGAGGCCCTCAGTTCAAACTCCAGTTTGAACTGGAATTCAAACAAAAACAAAGGGGGTGGGGGCAGGGGGGAGAAATAAACCAAGCCTTGTATGCACATATGAATAATAAAAGAAAAATGAAAAAAAAAAAAAAAGGATACAATGACCAAAAAAAACCTGGGTCCAGGATAGTAAGAAACCTAGAAGAATCCCCTACGAAAACAGAAATCAGCCAGTATTATCTGTCAAAGGAAGTTAGTGCTGCTGTTTTAAGTCTTGTGTATAAACTTGGGGGTACCCTGGTGTAGGGGAAGCCCTGGGATTGGTGGATGGTGGTCACAGAGGGAGAGACTCTGGTTCAATAAAAACGAAACAAAACAAACAAACAAACAAACAAACAAAAACAAGTAAAACGGTACAGTGGCTCCAGCCAGATTCTGGGTGAACTTTGACCAGGGAATCCGTTGTACTGTGGGAGTGGGTGAAGCTAGATGCAGTGACACTGCTCTGTGCCAGCGCAGGCACTCACCCTGTGCAGGTACCTCATGCAGCTCTCCTCCTCATAGTACTCCTTCAGGGAGGTGTAGCCATGGAACTTCCTGGAACACACGAAAAAAGTGTAAAGTAACATTTATCATCAAAAATCCGAGCGGAATATTTTCTGGTCTCCGCTGGTAGATTACGCACTGGCAGCAGAATCGGTCTGAGTACTGAGCTGGTTTTCTTATTGCTCTGGGTCCTGCCCTAACTTGTGTGGTGAAGAGTTTATATAGGTGGCAGAGTCTGGGGTCAAGATGCCACTGGCTTAGGCATCTGGATTCAAATCCTGGCTCTGCCACTTGCTGTGTGACATAAGGTAACTGCTCAGCTTTTCTGAGCCTTACTAGTCCTCTGTAAAGTGATCTAAAGAAGGGAGCTGCCTTGATGGTACTGTGAGAGGAGTCATTCAATGACTGTAATAGTTGTTACTGGATGTTACATCTTTTGAGGCAATAAATGACTCTCTCTTACTAATGGAGGGTGAAAATGGCTGGTGTATTTTCTAGCCATTATGAATATGGAACACTGAAACCTGTAGAAGTCATTTTAAGAAGTGGCCGGGCACCAGTGACTCATGCCTGTAATCCCAGCTACGCAGGAGGCAGAGATCAGGAGGATGGAGGTTCGAAGCCAGCCCGGGCAAATAGTTCTCAGACCCTACCTCAAAAAACCCAACACAGAGAAGGGCTGGTGGCATGGCTCAAGGTGTAGGCCCTGAGTTCAAACTTCAGTACCGCAAAAATAAAACAAAACCCAAAAAACCAAAACCCAAAACAAAAAAACACTAGACATGTATTCAAAGAAAAAAAAAATACTTTAACATTGAAGGGGATGGAGTTGGGCAGAGCTGGCCTGCAGCCCTGCCTGGCACCCACTCCATAGCTGTCCTCTCCTGCCCGAGGGACCCACCTCATCACGTTGTCATCTATCTGCATCAGGGAGGTTGCTGTGTAGAGCCGGCTCAAGTCCGAGTCCTCCAGGCTCTGAGGTTTCTTCACATGGTCTCCAAAAAGAGCTTGCCTGGATCGAGACACAAAAGCAGAGACTGACACAGACGATAACCAGTACAGCCGAGCCCACCTCCTTGCCCACAGGCAAGCCAGGAGAGTCCGGGATGTAATCAGCTAGACGCATGCACCCCAGAGGATGAGCATGTGCTGGTGACTTGAATCACCACGGAACGGGGACCGTCAAGACCTTATTTTCCTCCTGGGGCTTCCAGACACACTGAAGACTGGGTGTGCAGGTGGCTGAACCTTCAGCACAGGGGAGAAAGCCTCAGGGTGAGCCTGGGGTTGGGGCAGAGGGACAAACAGCTGCTCATTTTTATAGTGGTGTTGACACTGTCCTCTTCCCTTTATGATAATGGCTGACCCATTTAGCATTTGGACACATCAACAGCTCTCAAAGGGTTAGCTACACAGCTGTGTATGATTAACCACTGGCACCCACAGGAGACTGGTCAACACTGGTACCTTACATAAAATGGTGTAGAATTGGTCTTTTTTTTTTTTTTTTTCAGTGGGAGGGTCTTGCTGTGTTGTGCAGGCTGGCCTTGAATGTCTGGGCTCAAGTGATCCTCCTGCTTTGGCCTCCAGAGTAGCTGAGACTACAGGCGCACACCACTGTGCCTGGCTTTGGGATTTGCATCTAACCTAAGCCTTCCTGACGTATGCTTTGAACCATCTCTGAATTACTTACAAGACCTAAAGCAATGCAAATGCTATTTAAATAGTTGCTGGGCTGTATTGTTTAGGGAACAATGAGAAGAAAAGAATCTGCATGTGTTCAGTACAGCTAAAACCTTGTAGGTATGACTATAATTCTGAGCTGTTTGAATCTGTGCATGCAGAACCCCTGGATACAAGGGCCCATGGTCTCCAGTACAGTGGTCATTGCTATGAAGAGGGAGCTCTATCCCCAGAGGATGACCACAAAGATAAGGATGAAAATGAGCGCTCCAAGCAAGTGCTCTCAGTCGCACAGCTGAGGGCAGGGCTTCCTTTGAGGCTTGGCTACACGCAGGAATGATTCACCAAGGAAACCCAGTGAGCGGGTATCCTTTCACAACCTCTCCAAAAGAGGTACATATTTCTTTAGTACTTAGTTTTTCAACAGATTATGTACTTATGGGACAAGCCAGGTGCAATGGCTCACGCCTGCAATCCCAGCTTCTCAGAGGCAGAGATCAGGAGGAACGCGGTTTGAAGCCAGCCTAGCAAATAGTTCACAAGACCCTATCTCAAAAATATCCATCATGACAAAGGGCTGGCAGAATGGCTCAAGTGGTAGAGCACCTGCCTAGCAAGTGTGAGGCCCTGAGTTCAAACCCCAGTGTCACACACACACAAATTTATGGGACAGAATATACAACCTGAAGTTCCCTTAAAATTTCAGTGTTTGGCTTTCTGTAGTAAAATTTAAAAAGGTAATACTCTTATAGCACAATTTCCTAGTTTGTTCAGAACCAAGTAATGAACCTTGGAGACTATTTAGCAAGCCCGAGCACTTTAGCAGGACAAGTATTTCCTGGGAGGAGCCCTCTCCACTGCAGAGGGGCTGGAAGGCAGACAGAGCTACTTGGAGTTTGTATCAGTGGCCTGGGTTCACCCCTTGGGCTGTGGAACCTCAGCAAAGCCCCAGGCCCACCAGACCTCAGCCAAGCTGCACCCCACTCAGTGCCCTGCCTGTGGTCGATGCTCAAACCACAAGAGTCGAATGGAATTGATGGTTGTCACAGCACAGGGGACATAAGTCTCCCTCTGTTCTCCACCCACCGGATATGAGGACAGTCCTGGAAGCTTGGCAGCCTGTGAGGCTGTGAGCACCAGGCTTGCTCAGGCACCTTGTGGACCCCACCCACAGAAGCCCAGTCTGGGGTGTGTGGCAGCAATGGGCAGTACCATGTTTCCTTTTAACCACTGGAAAAAGAGTCTAAGAACTGGGTGTGGTGGTGCACATCTGTAGTCCCAGCACTCAAGAAGCAGAGGCAGAAGGAGGACAGCATGAGCCCAGGAGCTTGGGGACAGCCTGGGCAACACAGTGGGACACATCTCAAAAAACAAATAAACAAACAAAACACCCAAAAAGAGACTCATAAACTGATCATTTAGTCAGAAAGCTTTTCCCTAAATCCCTCCCAAAGTGTGTTTGTTGAGTGATCATAAGGAACGAGGCCTTGGGAGAAATTAGCGCAGGCTCAAGGCCTCCCAGGTTTCTGTGTTCGCAGGAACCACACAGGGAAGCAACCTGGTGGAGGTGCAGAGACCTGAGATGGATCCCATAAGCTGAGACTTGGGGTAGGGGAACACCGCAAGTCCCCCTCAGGACAGTAAGCCACGTGAGAGGACAGAGGGTGTAGCTGAAGCAGGAGGTGTGTGGGAGGGAGAGATGACAGCGACAGTCACAGTCTTATCACTGATAGCTGCTGCCGGCCCGGTTGCACGTGCCTGATGGGTTAGCCATGAACGACTGAGAGCAGAGAGGCAGGATGGGCCTGGGGAACGTGCAGGGGCCTGAGCTCCAGCATGGAGGAACTGACGCTCTGCTCTGAGCCTCCTGTCACCAGGCTGCTTGCTTAGAGCCCCAAGGGCCAGGCAAGGTTCAGTCCTGCTGCCTGAACAGAGAGTATCCTAGGGTGGAGGGCAACAATGACAAGCCACCTCAGAACTGCTCTAATGGGGAAAGAATGGTGTACAAGTGTCTCCGATTTAGTGGGAATTACATGTATTTTTCTTTTCTTCAGTACCAGGGATGGAGCCCAGGGTTCTTGCATGCCAGGCAAGCACTCTATTATTTGAGCCAAGCCTCATCCCTTTTTAACATTAGTTATTTCTTCAATAGGGTCTCAAGTTTTTCCCTGGTGCTGGCCTTGGATCTGGATCCTCGTACCTCTGCCTCCCTCACAGCTGGGATCATAGAATGTACCACCACATATGGCTTGTTGATTGAGATCGGAGTATTACTAACTTTTTGCCCAGGTTGGCTTCAAACCAAGATCCTCCAGATCTCTAGCTCCCCTGTAGCTGGGACTACAGATGTGTGCTACCATGCCCTGTCAGTGGGAATTACGGAGGCAGAAAGTGATTTGTTTGGCAAATTAGTTTGGGACAAGTGTGTTTCTAACCAGGTCACCTAGGCAGCCAGCAGTCTGCAATGAGACAGGATCTCGACAGCCTAGGCTGGCCTGGAACTCACTTTGTAGCCCAGGCTGACATCAAACTCGAGAACCTCTTGCCTCAGTCTCTGGAATGCTGGGATTATAGGCATGCACCACCATGCGTGACTCTGCACCTTTTATTTTTCCTCCTGGAGAAACGGGTGCTTTGGCTTTCAGGGCCTCCTGGAGGAGCTCAGAAAGGAGTCGTGTGTCTTGTGAGACAGATGGAAGGCACATACCTGTGGGAAAGGATGATCTTCTTCATGTTGTCGGCCATGAGGAAGTTGTAGAAGCGCCGGCACTGGTCCCACTGCATGAAGGTCTCCTGGGCCCTAGAAGAACCACGAGTGAGAGGGGAGCTGTGCGGGGCCGGGCCCGGCTGGGGCTCTGCTCACTGCGACTCCTATGTTGGAGAGGGCTGTAAGGTGCAGTGCTCAAACATCTGTGGGGAATCACAATGCCTTCGGAAGCCTCCAGGATGAAGAGGCCCTGCTGTCTGTCAGCGGCATTCCTGGCCCTCCTCTGTCTGGCTTTCTCTTAGTCACAGACTCAGAGTCTGCTCCAACCACAGAAAGTTAAATGGTCTGTGGGCTAAATGGCCAGTGACCCACTGAGAAGAGCGCTGCCTTCCAAGGTCACAGCCACTGCTTAACACGTGAGACCTCCCCACACACTGATGGAACAGAAAGCACAGGACAGGTCACCAGGGGTAGGACCCTGGCTGAGGCAGCTCTATGGACACCTGCCTCGTGGTCTGCAGGAGACATCACCCAACCCCTGAGTCACAACCTGCCGTCCCAGCTGGCTGCCCTTTCCTGAGAACCTGAGGTCTCTAATCCTGTTTCGTCTTGCCTCATCATTCCTCCCTTTGCAGAAGGGGCATTTGTGCTTTCATTAGCACCTTCCTCATTTTAGAGGAGCTGCTGACCCCAGGGTTAAGATGTGCCAGTCCTGCAGAGTGATTTTTGCCTGACTCACACCACAGGGGCTGGTCTATGCGGGGCTCTGGGGGTTCACAGGGTTCCAGGGCCCACGGGAGGGTGATGGTGCTAGGGTAATAATCCACGTTGTTAATTCTGGTTAACATGGATTCCCGTTATTTTTGGTGGTTTACCACTCAGTATATTTGGGGTGGTCTTTGGCCATCTTTGGATATATAATGAAGGAAGCCAAAGCTAATTTCTATTGGTTTAATAAAACATAGTTAACCTATTTCCTGCATGGGGTGCAGGAAGTAGTTCTCCTTTTCCCCCTATTTCTCCCCAGTTTAATCCTGTTATACTGAATTCTTTTCCTAAAAATTTTACTATAACTTTTACTACGAGAAAACAATAAGTCAATGTGTTACAAAACCATCCATCCCAAATACTTAAAATAAAAGACCTCATTTCTTTAACATGGTCATCATAAAACTGAAAGGACATGTGAGAGGGGAACTTAAGAGTCTAAAAGAAACTTAAAACAATCAACACAGACAATCAAACAAACCTGAACACCGAAGGGAAATAGGATGACATTAGGGAATTATATTAATGTTTGTTGTGATAATGGTATTTGTGGTTAGATTTAAGAACAAGTTGCACAAGGGCCCTGGGTTCAATCCCCAGCACTGCAAAAAGAAAAGAAAAGTTACTAAGAATCTCGACATTTGCTAAAATATAATCACCTGTCCACTGGGGCATGGTGAGTGGACCAGAGGATGAATTAATAGTGGCCATGAGTTGCTGTGTGCATCTGTGTGTGCTTCAATATTCTACTTGAAAGATTTTAATGTGCTAAAATTTTTCATAATAATGGAGGAGGAGGAGGAAGATGAGGCAGGAAGGAAGAAGGAAAACCATTTTGTATTATGAGCTACTGAAAATGGTTTGCCTTGCTGAAGAGTTACAGGTGAATGAGTCACAAGGAGTCCGAGTTGGTTTTTCCTGGTCAGACTGCAGTGTGTGGACCTCACCTCCCTCACAGTATGGAAAGGGACCAGATACAGTATAAGGAAAGCCTCAACCATGTGGCTCGGGTCAATGCCAGGGTCTCGCTCATCAGGTGAGCCTGCAGCCTTGGGCCTAGTGACGGGATGATGGGGTAAGATGACTGGGCAGGAAGTTCAGCAGAGGCGATTCCAACTTGGCCATGGAGGTCATCAAACTGCACGATCACTCACCCCTACCTCTTAGTTTCCTCATCTGCCAAATCTAGAAATTTCCTTTCCACCAAGGTTGCTTCTGCAGCTGAGGTATCTGGACAGAAGCTGGACAGAGGCCCCTCAGAGGACCTTGGCAGTGTTTTCACTGCTGCAAACAGTGACAGAATTCTGCAGACAGGGTGGATGTGGTCGGGGAGAGCTGGCCAGGGGTGTCAGGAATGTCTGACTTTGGCTGGAGACATGGCTCCTGAGCTCAGAAGGAGAGACAAATGTCTTCCTGGGAAGCAGGTGACCCCATCAGGAAACTTTAAGACAATGGTGGTAGAGGGAGAACACTCAGGTGAAACAGAGATGACATAGGTACCATGGTGGGCAGACTTCAACTTTGACAGGTGGATGGACCAGTAGGGAGTCACGAGAGTGAACAGGAAACTTTAAGGGGGAGGAAGAGAGGACGCTCATAGTTCCACCCATGTGCCAATGGGTGGCGCACGCACGAGGACAGCTTAACTTCTGAGACCTCAGAGGTGTCCAAGTCTCCATGAGACGGGAAGCACCTGGTGAGGGGACTCTTGAGTGGCTACTCAAGATAAGGTCACCTTTTGGGAAGAGAAGCAGAACAGAGCTGTTTGGTAAGGAACAGACACATGTGGTCCCAAAGCCAAGAATGTTTGGGTGAGAACTGCTGGGTCAGATGGGCGACAAACATTTTACATTCTTGGTGCAACTCACAAAATGGCACTAAAGCCAGGAAATGTTACCTCAGACACTACACAAACAGGTGCTTGGCTGAACAGCAGAACGTTGGAGCTCGAGACTTGCCTCTAGACAGTTGTGACCTCCAGAAGAGTGGGGATGGCATGGACTGCTTCACCAGCAGTCACTGGCTAAGGAGCAAGGAGAGAATGCAGTACCTGAGGGAAGCAACTAGGCCATCAACACAGGAAGAGACACTTGTGCGTCACCCTGAGTGAACCCTCACTGGTTAGGAAGGATGCCTGAAAGCGCCAGGTGGGCTCCAAAAGGAGAGAAGCAAAACTCTCAAAGAAGCGATGCTGTCACTGAGGTCACCGAGAAGAGAAGGGCACCCCCAAACCTGGCGCTTCCATGGTTTCCCTGGAAGTCTTATATGAGAATGGCATAGGGATTTGTAAAAAGCTTTTTCCAGCCACCCATCTATCTATCCACTGGCAAAATAAGCCAAGTTCCCTTAAGATGTCACTTCTAATCAGTGTGACATTAAATGATAATAAAATATTACCCATACTGCTTCAGAGCTATTCGCTGGTGAGGGTCTTCTCTTTGAACTATCAAAAAGAATTTTTAGGACTGGGGTGTGGCTCAAGCAGCAGAGTGCCTGCCCAGCAAGTGCAAGACCCTGAGTTCAAACTCTAGTACTGGGGAGGGGGGCAGAGGTGAAAACTAAGAGAATATAAAATATATCCCCAAAAAAGAATTTTAAAGATGTTATGGAAGGTGACAGATTTTTAATCCACTTAGAAAAAGTCTGAATAAGCAGGCATCCTGAGTATACACTGAGAGTTTTTACTCAGGCAAGGGAGATCTGAGCCAACTGAGCTGCTGGGGTATAGCTTGGAGAATCCCACCTCCCAACCCCTTCACTTTGCAAATGAGTGCGACAGGTTCAGATCAAGAGGAATTAAAGTGGAAGGGAATGTTCCAAGGAAAGAGCCCTGCTGAAGAACACTTGCAAGTTGTAGTGGCTGTGTTAGCACTGGTTACACATGGCGATGCTAACACACTCAGCCAGGAGCACGCTGTGCTTAGGGAGAGCTGCCGACTCCTCTGTTGTCCTGGCCTGGGCAGGGTGCTACTCTTCTGCCCACCTTCCCAAATGCCACCCCACTGACCACCCTACTTGACCGAGGAACTCCTTGGTCCTCGTGTGTGACATATTACTAGCAAGCGTTTATTGGTATGTGGCTTTGTAACGATCCCTGTACTGTCATTGAGTGCCAAGGGTCTCAAACTGCAACTATTTCACCTATTGATAAAAATGCTTTTAATTATATGACTACAGGCCACTTCTGCAATGTGATGAGATTTTTTTCGGGCTTCGTCAGGAAAGATAAATTGATTTTAGCTGCAAATAGCCCAGCAAAGCTTCCCTTCCCTCTTCAAGCTCCATGAGGGGCTGGTAGTGTGGCTCAAAGTAGAGCATCTGCCTAGCAAGTATGAAGTCCTGAGTTCAAACTCCAGTACCACCAAAAAAGAAAAGTTCCATGAGGGGGAAGAGGGCAGAGGCCTCATCTGTCCCGTTCAGGGATGTGTCCCAGTACCTGGGAGGAGGTCAATGAACAAACTCATCTACCCTCTGGCCTCACCAGGTCTCCCTCTCGCGTTCCTGTCTGGTCACTTAATGGATGAACTTGTAATCAAGAGTCTTCATAACAAAGATTCAACTAACTCGTTCAGAAAGTAGACTGTGTCTGACCACCCAGATTCCCCAGGCCGGCTGGTAGCTGTTCATGCTGAGGGAACACACTAAAGTCTGCTAGACACCATGTAATTTCAGGGCATTTGTGTCCCCTACCCCACCCCCCAGTGTTGACATGACAAAATGTGAGCTGGTTTAGTAGCAGCTAGACTTTGCAAATGACAGCAGGTGGGTGGCTTCTCTCAGAAGCTTTGGCTAGGCTAGCAGGGAGGTGAGCTTTGGAAATAAGAAGCCAGAGAGAGGGGATCACCGAATGGGCAGTTCTTCAGACTCCACCAGAAGGGGTCTCCCAGAAGCATGGCCTCCTGTGTGGCCCCTGCAGATGCAAGGGGGCCTCTGATGACACCCTGGTTGTAAGAGGCAGCTCAGCTACCACCATCCCAGGACCAACAAGGCTCATTGCCCTCAAGTGTAGACAGGAAAAACAGCTCTACTGGTTTAGGGTTAGGAAGTATCCTTCACTCATTCAGCCATCTGGTTAAGAGGCTGAGGGAACCTGAGTCCTGGGTGACATCAGCACACATGGCACAAGGTCTCTGTGACCTGACAAAAGTTCCCCTGTGCAGGAAAGCATGACCTTAGCCCTAATGCTAACTAGCTCCAGAGAAAAAAAGTTGCCTCTTTTTTTCCTTGTTGCATGAGGCTTGTGTGACAGTAGATAACTGTGTGCACCAAGGTCTTTGAGATCTTGGGGAAGGGGCCATGTGGACTACATAAAGTAGCTTCCTGCTTTCTTGAACCTTCTCTGTTTTTGTTCAAACACCTGTATGCTGTGATCATGTGTCTTTGCTAACAGCAGATGGCGCTGTTGCAGCAAAATGGAATGAAACTTGTCATTTTAAGATTTCTGTATTGAAAAAGAAGAGGAAAAGAAACTTGTCCCGATCATCCTGTTTATCAAATCCAAAGCTGCCTGGACACATGGCGAGTATTTACAGCAAGCTCACGGCAGACAGGCTAGGGAGGGAATCTAGTGACTCCCATACCACAAATGGCAGACCTGCTGTAAACTGGGCCAGCTGTCAGGTGAGCCCAGGGAGGACTGCTCCCTCAGATGTGGCGGTGGCTGGCCCCCTGCTTGCTATTTCTTATCTCAGTGACTGGGTGGGATGGGACTCTGGTTAGCTAGGTTTGCACGTGGCTATGAACTGGGGGGTTGAGTGTTTCTAGCCAAACCAAGAAAAAGGAGACTTCAGCTGGTTCCTAGTGGATGCAGGGACACCTAGGCTGAAGGCCAGACCTGGAGACATCAGAGGTCTACAGTGACTGCTAATCATGGCCAAGCATTGGAAGTCACCTAGGAAACGAGTCCAAAAGGCGATTCCTGGAGTCTAGAGCCTCACATGTCATCAATCAGATTCTGACTTGAGATCCTCTTCCTTTTTGGATCATTTGAAGCTTTAGGCAGAGGTCGAATTCAGGGCTCACATTTGCCCTTGGGCACTGGCTTCAAATTCCAGTAAAATGTGTACCTTCAGAAGTAATCTAGGTTACCTATAGCCATCAGAGAGTAATGAAGCAGGCTGAGCTGCAGCAGGTATGGAGAGGCAAAAGCGAAGGGCTTTCATTACAATGAAAACTTTGGTGTTGCACTAAATCAGTGAAGATGTTTTTGTTTTACTTTCTCCTGCGACTGTGGATTTCTTCCAGAGATCTTTAACAAATGGTCACGCCACTTCACGCCATCTCAAATACAAAAGACATTATCGAGAAGACTAAGAACAGGAAAGACTGTCAATGTATTTGAAGAGCCTGCAGCAAAGTGTGAGTGTGAGTGTGAGGTGTAAGGACAAGAGCTGGGTGCAGCGGTCTTGGGGGCGGGCAAAGCAGACGCAGAGGAGGCCCTGCTAGGATGAGTCCTGCAGGTGTGTGTTGGCAGGAGACTTGGGGGACAAGTAAGCCTTTACTTATCATAGGTCAGATCTTCTGTGTGGACATCTGGGGTGCCTGAGGGAGATGAGTCCTTGGAGCTGAGGACACTGACCTCACAGACCCTGTTCAGATGTCACCTCACACTGTCCTATAGGAGGGAGGGATCTGGGGTCATGAGGCCCAGTGTTCAGATCCTGGCTGCTGGTCCCCATGTCTACCATACATCCCGGTGCTGCCGTATTCTCACCCAGACTCCCTGGGGAAGCAGCAGCTTCTGGGGGGCTGTGGCCGGTCCAGCTACAGATCTGACCCTAAAATGCACCTGCATATCCCAGGCTTGACAGGTTGGACAGGCAACATCAGTATAGGATGTAGAAGTAAAACCCGGTGAGTTCAAGACTCAAACTTGCCCCAGATCTGCCATGGTGGTCCCTGGGCCACATCTGGGGTCTTGAGGTATCTTAGTGACCGAATTCTGACTGAAGGATGGACAGGAGGAAGAAGTGGGTTCATGTGGTAGAGATGACTCACCTCAGCGCACTATACCCCTGGCACACGCTGACGCAACACAGGACCCGCTCTTGGTTTGCCTGGATCTCCCCCAAGTACTTGCACACGATGTTACCGCCCAGGCTGAAGCCCACGACCACCAGCTGGGTGAAGGGGTAGGCCTTTTTGATGTAGTTCACCATGGCTCCAAACTCCCACGTGCAGCCTGCGGGAGAAAGGGTGAGGTCATGCAATCATTTCAGGTATATCAAACATTAAAGAAAATGCAAGCTGGAGGATCACTCGATGGTCACACTATGACAGAGACATATGTGCATGTCTGTGTGTTGGAGAGATACTGGCCTTTGACTACCTTGTTCCCAGATGCCCCCGGTGTTAGAGAAAACCAGGCATCAGTAGTGCCCATCAGTGGAGGTACCACGTATCAACAACAGTGTCCCTTTAACGGTGGTCACAAGAAACCTGTTTAGATGTTCACGGTCATCAAAACAGATATTCAGGGTATTCACAAGCATCAGTGTTCACACACAGATGTAAATAAAAGCAAGAGAAAACCCTTTGGGATTTATCTTCTCAGGTTACAAATTGGGATGCTGTACCCATGTGTACAGTGACTCATGGTATTTTGTATTCAGAAAAGCACTAAGCAGGTGTTATTTACAGGATCTTCTAGCCAGCATTGGGGGAAGCGGGGAGGGGTGAACTTCAGTCCTGAGGGATGCCTAGGATGCTCTGTAGGACAGGTTAAATGTTCTTGGTGACACAGGGACAGGGTGCCAAGGGAGGCAGACTCATTCAGAAATACTCAGAGGGGCCTTCTGAATGGAGAGGTTGTTTGGACCTGGTTTGCCCAGGAGAGATGAGCTCAGCTGGTGTCCCCTGGGAAGCCACCAGAGTCATGCTGTGTCCCAGAAGCTTTGCTAAAAGGGGAAGGTTCATGGCCACACATGGGGAGGGGACTCATCACGTCCTTCTAAAGCCCAGCCCCACAGTGCAGGGAGCCTCATTCTAGTACAACTTAGCAGAGGGCATTGGGATGCTGGCATAGACGCACATACAAAATTCAGCAGCGAGGAAGAGTGCAAATTTAAAACAGAGAAGTGAGTGGCTGACCTGGTGCCAGCTCAGAGGTGTGCCAGCCCTAATCAGCCGGCAGGGAGGATACTACCTTTTGAGGCCAGGACAACTCCTGTATATCCATCTTCCTTTTGTTGTGGGACACAGCCTAAGCCAGGCTGTGCAAAGAATCACTTGGACAGGGTACTAGAAATGAGTGTTCCTGGGCCTCACCCCAGAGAAGCTGATTCTGTAAGAGGCCCAGGAATCTGCATTAATTTGGGGTAGGTAACTCACGTACATGGCACAGAATTCAGATGACAAAAGATGTAGTAAGAGTGCCAGGCACTGGAGGCTCACACCCATAATTCTAGCTACTTAACAGGCTGACATCAGGAGAAGCAAGGCTCAAGGACAGTCAGGCAAAACGTTCAAGGGGCCACATCTCAACAGCTTGTGAGACCCCCATCTCAACTAGTAGCTGGACATGGTGGTGTGAGTCTGTCATCCCAGCTATTGTGGGGAGCCTAGAACAGGAGGGTCGTGGTCCAGGCTGGCCTGGGCAAAAAAAGTGAGACCCTAGCTCCAAAATAACCAGAGCAGAAAGGGCTACGGGGGATGGGCATCTGTCCAGCAAATGTGAGACTCTGAGTTCAAATCCAGTACTGCAAAAAACAAGCAAACAAAATGCAGTAAAAGATAACTTTCCTCTAACTTCCTTTTAATGCCAGGGGTAGCACACACGTTGCTTAATGCTTTATCCCTCTGCATTACTTCTCGGAAACCATTAGGCAGCAACACACTTAAGGCTGCCTTACCCTTTCTCTTTTCCAGGAGATGTGATATGCACACAGAAATGCACCATCAGTGAACATGCAGGTAACCACTGCCCAGATTAAGCTGGAGAATATTCCTGAGTCCCAGGAGACTCTCTTGTTCCCTTTCTACACTCTGATGACTGATTATGACCTAAAAGCTGGGGAGCTCCTGGAGCTGGGATGAGGCAAAAGAGATTCAAGGTTAAGGGCTGAGCCGGTGGCCAAATGTAGCTCCCTCCCCGCTGGTGAGACCTGTGCCATCTGAGAAGGAAGCACGTGTGTCTTTAGCACACCTGTCTTGACCAGAAGCCTGGGTCTCCTATTTCTCTTTCCTGCATCCAGCAGGGGTTGGGGCAGTTCTCAACTTTCAATAATGACCTGGTGGCTAATGGACTCTCATGACAGGCCTCTGAAGGGTCCTGGCCAGGCCCCTGAAGGAACAAAAAGCAAGGCCAGAAGGAATCTTGACCTCTTTTTTTTTTTTTTTTTGCGGGGGGTAGGGGGGGCACTGGGGTTTGAACTTAGGGCCTCATGTTTGCTAGGCAGGTGCTCTTACAGTTTGAGTCATTCCATCAGCCTGTTTTATTTATTTATTTATTTATTTATTTTTTCATTGTGATGGGTTTTTTTAAGATAGGATGTTGAGAACTATTTGACGAGGGCTGGCTTTGAACCTTGATCCTCCTGATCTCTGCCTTCAGAGGAGCTAGGATTATAAACAAGCCACCAGTGCCTGGCTGAACCTTGACCTCTTAACTTTGGAACTGAAAGGCCAGACTTTTATCCCCACTTAGGTCACAGCCAAGTGTCTCTTTTTAAAAAGGTAGCAATGGAAGGAACCTGAATTTCCAGGGAATGCTGGGTATTGTGGGGAGCTGTGATATAAAGAGGGAGTCTCCAAATGCTCTCAGCTGACATCACAGATGCTTGACAGAACACTAAATCAAACCCAGAAATTCCATTTTGTTTCCCCAGGCCACCAGGCGCCCTAAATATAGGGCCTTTAACGGGGCAGTCTTGCCTCCTGGCTGGGTGAAAGAGTTCTGTGGTTAGACTGCCTGGGCCTACCACTTAGTGGCCCCAAAGGTTCCCGACTTCCCTCTGGGACAGGTAACCCTGGTATGAAGGTGGTCTACAGCTCTGAGCTCCCTGTGGAGACACCAAGCTCATAGAAGCAGGTGTTCTAGAGACTCCATCTCAACCAATGGCTGGGCTGGAGCAGAAGAAATCTTTACTTCTCTGCCGTTTCCTTGGGTCTCTGCCTAACATCATCCCTTGGCTGATCATCTCTCTTCCTGTGTCGTTCTAACATTGAATGAGCCTTGATTAGATTATAAACTCCACCCCCCTGTGTCTGAGAGCCCAGGTGCTTAGGGACACTCAGTCAGTGCGACCGGAACAGCTAAAGGAAAGAAGGGGTGCACTGTTCCAGGCTCTCAGTTCAACTGAGACACAGACGGGAGGCAGATCTAAAGATGTGTGATGACTTGCCCTCCCTCACAGAGAATGAGTGAGCGCCTGGACTTGAACTCTAAGTCCAAGTCCTCTGCCTTACACCACAATCTACATATTGAATAGTACTTTGAGATTCACGGTTTGCACATCTCACTCTCTCCCCACCTGATTCCTCCTACATCTGCCTTTATTCAGGTTGAGACTAATTCTTTGAGACCAGGAGCAGATGTTCAGACATGGCTGGGTTAGTAACAAAACTTGGATTTGCTACACTGCTGAGGAGCAATTACAGCTAATTGTGTTGGCACCATGGGACCTCCATTTAATTAAATCTAACTGAGTCTGATCTGGATAAAAGGCAGCCCTGCCTGGTGCTGGACAAGCTGTTGGGTGTTCTGTGAAGACCTGCCACCTGAGCCGGGCATGCTGGTGCACGACTGCAATCCCAGCACTGGGGAGGCTGAGGCAGAAGGATCGTGAGTTCAATGCCAGCCTGGGCTACCTAGCAAGACTCTGTCTAAAAAAAAACAAAAAACAAAAAACAAAACAAAGCAGGGCTGGGGTGTGGTAGCATGCTACCTAGCAAGCACAAGGACCTGAGTTTCAACTCCAGTACTATTAAAACAAACCAAAAATCAAAAAGCGGCTACCTGTCCCAGACAAGGGAAGGGCAAAGACATGGTGTGTCTTCCTAGCACTAGGATCAGCCCTCTGGAAGGTGCTGGGTGCTCCTAGGATCTCTACCTGATGTTCATTGCTGACCCCCTCGTGACTGGGAGCCCCTCCCTAGCTTGTTAAACTAAGCACTACATACGGTTGTCTGTTTTCTAATACTGGGGGATTATAATGAGGTTCTGTGTATTTAATCCTTCTGGGATTAGCACAGATGACAAGATTAGACATCTAATCTTTTGGTGGCTTTTCAAAGACAAGATGAAATCTGAGACCTCAGCCTGGTCTTACAGAGGAGGCATGACTGGGTGGTTTGGGAAGGTGACTTGCTGAGAGAAGAGACACTCTGGCTTTTTCTCCACCAAAGAAAGACAAGGCCAAGGCTGTCTGAGAGCTGCTATTTCAAAAGCCACTTTCCAACGGACACTAACATGACTAAGTAGCTAAAACATAGGAACCCAGGGACATGGTGTTCCTTGCTCCTGGAGACTTTGAGTCATCTCTGTGTCCTCCAGCCAGGCATGGACCTGGCACTTGGGTGTCACAAGATGTCAGGTGGGATGGAAGGATGTTTGAATCATGTGGAATGGAAGTGCACAGTACTGGCCAGTGTGACTGTGCAGCGGGTCCTACTGAGTCTACAACAGCGCTCTCTGGCAGGTGGGTGGGTGGGGGCCCGGCAGCTCCTGTCGCTTTCAGAATAAAAGTGTGTGAGTCACTTCTCAAAGCCAGTGGGAAGCCACTGGTACACTGAGTCACTCGGGGAGAAAATAGCTGTAGAAATCAAGAGAGAGTCCCTCCCTCTGCCCATCCCATTAGTTTATCTCTGAGACTAAAGGGTACCTTTAGCTCTGCCTCCCCAGGAGCCAAATGCCTAACACTGACCTGGCTGAAGGCTTGCACATTTGAGCCCCTTCTGACAGCACAGGACCCATCACTGCAGGCCCCCAATTCTGCTCTGGATGCTACCACCTGCCAGTCACATTTCCTGGAGCTCCCAGCTGCCAGCTCTCAGCAGGAGCTCTTGCCAGGTGTCTAAGATGCCAGAGCGGCTGCAACTTCATCACCTTTGCTTTCACATTCTCTCTCCCTTCCCCTTGCTCCTCCCCCTTCCTCACCCCATGTTCTTCTGCTTGACGGCTTCAAGCAGAGGCAACGAGACCCGCGGTTGTCAGTCTGCCTCATGAATACAACCCCATGTTGA